TAAGGCCTGGAAAGCACAGTGGAAAATATAGAGTTAAGAGGCAATGGAGACTGAGAGCTTAAGTTCATAGTAAAGTACCATGGCATGCAAAGAGCCATATATATAGATAAAATTATAGAGATTTGTAGGGGATGCTCTATGAATATCCCGAAGAATACTGATTCATAGTTGGATATAACAAAGAGATGCTAAGCTGAGGCAAAAACTAGAGTTCATGTATGGTCAGGAGTAGTGCCTGCTAGCTAGCAATAGAGTAGAAATTCTCAAGATTCATGGGGTATTGGTTGAGCAAACATAATGCATTAACTAAATAATGGGTATTAATTATTGCTAAACTGGCCACTACTCAAATACTGGATAACTAATATCAACAGACTCAAAATATACCAAATTATTAACAAAAATGCCAAGCTTTAGGCAAGAAAATATAATGTCTAGTATCCATTTAAAAATCAGCAGAAATACAAAAAAATGGGAAAAGTCAATACAAAACAATAAAATTAGTCAGTCAGTCAATCATCACCAAACTAAAATTGATGCCAAGATTAGAATTAGGAGACTAGGATATTAAAATAACAAATATATTTCATATATTTAAAAATTTAGAGAGGGAGTCGGGTTAAGAGAACTTGTTGCACTTGCCAAGGACCCAGGTCCAGTTCCCAGCATCCATATGGTTGCTTCAAATCATTTGTAACTCCAGTTCCACAGGATCTGATACCCTCTTCTGGCTTTCATCTATAGCACACATGTGGTACAAGACATACATAAATGCAAAACATTCACACACATAAAATAAAAATAAGTCTTAAAAAACTTACAGGCATACAAATTGAAAAGGTAGAGCAAATACAACTCCTGGAGATAAAACCCATGTCTGAGGTTTAAAATGTCCGGAAGATATTTAGATCAGGGACCCAAATAGTAGAAATTGGGTAGATTAACAATATCTACTGTCCAGAATGAAATATGGCAAGAAGTTTATAAAATTAAAAGTACAAGAAAATAAAAAGGATATTATATATATACTTTGGTTTTGGTATGAAATGCTGCTCATGGACTCATTTGTTGAACATTTGGGTCTCAACTGATGATGCTATTTTGAGAAGGGGTGAGGACATTATGGGGTAGCATCTCCTTGAGGAAATGAAATCCCAAAGGATATACTTTGAAAGCTGCATTGGGTTCCTGCTCCCTTACTTTCATCTCTTGCTTTCTGTCTCCCATAAGGAATAAAGTAGCCATACCTTCCCACCACCATGATATTATATTTTATAGTGGTCTCATAACCTATGCAGTCGAAAACTGTAGACTAAAACCTCTAAAACCATAAGCCAAAATATTTAATTTCTTGCTTTATGTTGTTTCTGTAGGAACTTTGGCCATAGATGCCCCAAATTAACTTATATGATCAAAGAACTGAAAGACCACATCAAGTAACTCAATAAGCTTATGATCTTAGCAAGGGGTAGACAAAATATTTGAGGGAATAGTAGCCAGAAATATTTTTACAGGTGATGTGTGTGAGTTCAGTGAGTTCAACCTATCTCAACCCCAAAGGAACATGAGGAATACATCAGCAAATATAATGAATTTGTTTAAAATGAATGCTTCAAGAGAGAAAATAGCAAACCAGTTGAAGAAAACAAAACACTACACACAATGAAAAAAGATAAGGATTTTTTGTTTTGTCTTTGTATTTATTTATTTAAAGACAGGATCTCACTCTGAAGACCTAGAATTTGCTGTGCAGTTTAAGATGGCCTTGATTCCCCAGAAATCTACCTATATCTGCTTCCATGTGTTCGAATTAAAGGTGTGAGCTACTGAATGCTGGAGTATATTTTTCATCAGAGACCCATGAGGATGAGAAATACAAGAAAAAATATGTTTAACATACAAAAGTAAAAGAACACCAAACAACTTAGACATCCCCACAGCCTATTCTCTAAGGAGTTAGAGAGATGACTTAGCAGTTAAGAGGACTGTCTGTTTTTGCAGAGAACTGGAGTTCTGTTCCCAGCACCCACATGCCATCTCACAATGGTATGCAAGTAGGTGATTCGAAAACCTCTTTTGGCCTCTGTTTTGTACTGCACTTACAGGGTGCACAGACATACATGCAGACAAAACATCCATACAGATAAAATGAAAATTTTTAAAAAGCTGGGCATGTTAGTGCACATGTTTAATCCCAGCACTCAGGAGACAGAGGCAGGAGGATCTATGAGTTCCAGGACAACCAGAGCTACACAGAGAAACCCCATCTCAAAAGCAAGCAAACAAACAAACAGACAAAACAAATATAAAGAAACTATCTTTCAAAATTGAAGGCAAAACATATTTTAGATATAGAAATACTTAAAGAACCTGTCTCTCACAGGCTTTCACTATAAGAGATGTTAAAGAGAATACTGAAAGCAGGAAGAACATGATAATGGTAGTAGATGGAATCTGTGTTTACATAAAGGATAAAGTGTGGCAGGAATGGCAGGTACACAGCAGGCAATTGCTGCGCAGGAAAGATCTGATTGTACATCCTCTTCTGCATGCTATAGCTTTCATTTCCTATAGAGCTGTTTGCTTGTGTGGCAGCAGGCTCTTGTGTGCTCTTCCAGACATGCATTGTCTTTTTCACCTGCTCCTGCTGTATCAGAGGGTCTGAGGATGGGAGTAAGTAGGGGGGTGCCTCCTTTCTGTTCACTCTGCCCTTGCTGTCTCTGCTGAGCCTCTGTGCTTCTATTGGTCATGCAACCTCTTTCATCCTTGCTGTTCAATAAGCCACCGTGATTTCTTTTGCCTTTAAGTATGGGGAAGTTTCTCTGGGGTTTTGTTCTTCTCTTATCATTTCTTTCTCTGTTTGCTGAACGTTATGTTTACTGCATCAGAGAGATCAAGTAAGCACATTAGTGACAAAAGGGTCTCTCTGGTATAAAACATGAGGGTCTTTCTCCAAAACATACAAACAAATGTTCAAGGAACACACCCGGTGTCTGTAAGTGACAGTTTTGAAGAACTCTATTTTATTTAACGTTGTTTGCTTTAATATTTCTAACTAATTCAATGTTGTAAACATTACCCATCTTTACAATGTCTTCTCATTGGACACTTAAGGCTTTTGCTTTTAACCCAAATGTCCTCATTTCCTTTCTTTTTATTCAATTGCATTTGGAAATATTAAGGTAACAAGCCTACATGGGATTTGTTCAGAGGCAGAGACAACCAGGCTCTTACAGCCCAGGCGATGAGGTAGCTGGTAACATTTGCCCAGGTTGGCAGGTCAATTAATTCTTCCACCTGGCAAACAACCTTGCCATTTACACAAGTTGGCTCTGATTCACAGGAAATAATAGGTAAGGGGATGGCCACTTGAATTTGAATTTTTAAATGCAAATGTGAGGCTCTGAAAGGTAGCATGCCATACAAAAGGCTTTGCAAGCACTAGAAGAAGGAAATGGAGAGCAGCGCCCACATGGGGTGATAATGGTCCTAAACATGTTTGTGTTCCTCAAGCGTCTTTGCTGCTTATCAATGTACAAATTTAAAATCTGTTTCTAATGACTTTTCACTCACAGTGGTTCAGCTGGACTGGAAAAAACTTATGTAAGAGGATTCCATTGTAAGTAAAATGAATCACTGGCATTTTTTTTTAAATGAAGCCAAACAAAAAGACCTTACTATAAAGCAAAGGTAAAAAAGAAAAAAAAAAAGGACTTCTAAAGATGACCAAGTTTTATTTGACAGTGTTTGTGGTAAGGTTATATCACATATGTGTTGTTTTGACTGCAGGCATAAGGAGCAAGAATGGTTAATTTTCCATTAACTTATAGCTTTTTAGGTGTGCAATTAATATTCTATAATTGTCTATACCTGCATGCACTCAAAAGTTGAGGAAATTTTGGATTATTTAGAACTCCCAGTAAGTCATATGAATGCTGTAAAAAGATACAAAAGTATTTCGATTAGCATACTATTAATGTTTCTATTTTCTATTTCAGTGTGTATATATAGGTAGCCCAAGTCAGCTATACAAAATGCCTTTCTGGAACCATGAGTAAACTTGGAATACAAATTGGTGAATTTTATATAAAATGTTCTCGATTTTGTAGCAATATGTAATAATTTGTTGTCCACAACCACAGGGACTGGAGAAATGGCTCAGTGGTTCAAAGCACTAGTTGCTCTTGCAGAGGACCTGGGCTTTATTCCCAGCATGCACTTGATGTTTCACAGCCATCTGTAACTCTAGATCCAGGGCAACCCAGCGCTCTCTTCTGACCTCTTCAGGCACCAGGCATGCATGTGATGTACAGATAGCCAATAAAATCAAAACACACACACACACACACACACACACACACACACACACACACACACACACACCAAATAAAATAAATTTAAAAATTTCTAACTCCAAAGAGAAAATACCAATGGTCCCATTCTGTTTGTTCAAAATAATTAAGATATTTGAAAGATCTATTTTCATGGAAATAGTTTGTAGGCTGCTTCATGTGCTAGAAATTATTCTAAAACTTACAACTCAAATAATATGTGTCTCCAAAAAAGGAAAATCCCGAAGTCCTATTTCATACAATAAGGTATCTTAACCTCTTTGAATTTAATATTCATAATCTGTATGTGGACATTTGATGTTATGGACACTGTGGATGATTAAATGACACAATGTAGGGGAAACTGGTGCTGGTTGCATTCAGGAAGTAATAATACTGCTTTTGCCCATTGTTGAGTGGTAGGAAGGAAGAACACACTGAGGTTTAGAAACACTCTTCTGAGGAAGGATGCAGAGGTCATGAGGGAGCAGAAAGGTTGAGTCAGGGGAAGAATAGAAGAAAGGATATGTGATAGGTAGGGTTTTAGTTGGGGGGGGTGGTAGGGGAGGACGGGAGGGAAAGGTAACTGGGATTGTCATGTAAATCAATCTTGTTTCTAATTCAAATTTAAAAACATAAAAAAAGGAAACAGTCTTCTGCTTGGTCCTGTACAGTTTCTTTCCTCTGTGTGCTGAAATGATACAAACATAGTGAGGAAAATAAAATAAATAAATAAATAAATAAATAAATAAATAAATAAATAAAAACACAGCTATCTGGGAGAAACCCTATCATTTACTCTTTCCTCCATAACAGATCCTGCAATTTGATGTACGGTATGCAGGTGCATTTCCCAGTTAATCCAGGCATTCTTAATCTTTCTTTTGTGGCAGATATAACTTGCTGGAGTTTCTTTGCTTCTTTCCCAAGAACTTTTTAATTAATTTGTACTGAAAGACCTGGCTTTTTAAAATAAGGGATTCTGTCAAATTACAGAAAGTAATAACATCTATGTGTGCTGAAATGGACTGGGAAAAGCTGTCCCTCAGAGCATCTTTCCTAGACTTTATTCTCTTTAAAGCTGTTTATTTATTTTATGTGTATGGGTGTTTTGTCTGCACATATGTATGTGTACCACACTCATACCTAGTGCCTGTGGAGGTAAGAAGAGGGTCTTAGATTCCCCAGAACTAGAGTTACAGATGGTTGCGAGCCACCATATGGGCTATTGAAATTAAACTGGGATCCTCTGAAAGAGCAAGAAGTGCTTTTAACTTTTAAGCTGTCTCTAGTCTCAATTTATACTTCATTATGGGCCTTGCATGTCTCAGGTCCTAATAATTTGAGTACATTTCTGAATAATATAGCTTGTGGAGCTTGGAGGTAATTGTAAAGCATTCTAAGCATAACATATATGACCATCTTCATTCAAGCAGCTGTGACTACTCATGAGCCATCCTTGAAATAGTGCATGTTGACATTCCTTCCTTCGTAGGAAGAAGGGTTGGGGATGTCCATCATTGTGTCACCTGAGATCTCATCCATTCCCCTATCAACTTGTATGCAATTCTTTCCTAGTTTTGTGTGGCATGGTAGTCACAGGCAGGGTTAGAGTAGATAGAGTGTGAACAGTTCATGGAGGGAAGGATTACATATATACAGTTATGGCAAAGCTGTCATCCATGCCGAAGTGAGATTTTGGGTTTTAGTCATCCAACTGCTTCTGTGTCACCCATACTCCCATAAATAACCCCTCACATGTGCTCTGTAATTAAGACCAGTGAACTCTGTGGTTCCTCAAGTTGGACTTTGGTAGAATTCTACTTTGGTCTGTCATTGGATCCAGATCTAGGGTAAAGACATTCTTGCATATCCCACAAAAGTACACAGAATGGTAGTATTTTGTGATGATAATCTTACTAAGTTTTGTAACCTTAGGAACCTAACAATATGCTTCATGCATAGTTGGTGTTTAGAACATTATTTGGGGCTGGGGAATATCAATTCCCAACTAGGCGAGAATTAGACCACTACCACAATTTTTAAGCCAAATTTGAAGCAAGCTTTATTAAATACTGGGCAGTAAAGGACAAATCCACAAGGCTATGTACTTCCCACCTTTGTCCAGTTGGGAGCAAACATACATCCTATGATACTTCCTGCCCAAGTACCTCCAGCCTACCTTTGATTAAGTATATCCTGCATTGGGGCAACCAAGCTTTGTTTATAGGAGCAAAAGCCTGAGGCTTGTTATCTTAAATGAACAGCAGCCCCCAGCATTCCAGGAAGTTATCTGTCCTTGGGCAAGTGGAACTTACAGGTCTGAGGCATTTTTCTTTTATAGATTCTTAAGAACAATAATTAAACAAAACACAATTTTAACCATCACAGGAGACCATTCTGTTGCTAAAAGTACTTGCTGTGCCAGCATGAGGACCTGAGTCCGATCCCCAGCACCCACATAAAAACTTGGATGGGCTGATGTAGAAGCTCAGATAAAAGAAGCAGCACACACATGCACCTGCCCCTTCTGAACTTCCTAAATGGCAATTAGGTTACCTCTTTGGAGAGGGAATGATGAGAAGGGGTGAGGCAGATTTAGGAAAGAGGGCCCTGAAAGTAGAGTTCCAGGAATATTGTTGACTCACCAGCCAGGAATGGCAGAAGGAGCTCTGGTGAGTTATTCACTCCTCATTGAGCATCTTTGCCTGGAGGCTGAAATGTGCAGGTGGGAACTGAAACTCCAGTTCATCAGTTCTGGTGAAGCCCTTTGGAGCTTGATCTCTATATTTTCATGGTGGAAATGGTTTATATCTCTATTCTCTAATTTCAGCCCACCCATTTTCTAAATAATTTTAGAGTGAATTCTTCAGACTGGGGCATGCTACAAAAGCATTGAAGGTCCATTCAGGGAATGTTATTACCTTCTAGTCAAAAGGTTGGAATCAACCTCTGAGTAGGGTCATACTATTATCTCTTCCCTTAAAAGTTAATGAAGGCCGGGCTTAGAGGTGTCTGGCAGGCTGATCTCTGAGTTGGAGGCCAGCCTAGTCAAGTTCCAAAACAGACATGGATACAGAAACCCTGTCTCAAAATGGAGAGAGAGAGAGAGAGAGAGAGAGAGAGAGAGAGAGAGAGAGAGAGAGAGTGATTTAATGAAGCCAGTCAGGTGAGTCACCTAGTCAAAGCACTACTCCTCAGGAAGGTTGATTAACTGTAAACTAAGTTAAAGAGATAAGAGAACAATTATCCCTTCAATGAGATAATATACTTTTCTTTCCCAGGATCCCCTCTACCCCTAACACTTTTGCTTACAGATGTATATATAGCCATACTTTTCTGATTTAAATTTTCCTTTTCTTGGCTTAGATATGTTGGTGTAAGCCTTTAATCCCAGCACTTGGGAGGCAGATGCATGCACATCTGTATGAGTTTGAGGCCAGCCCAGTCTACATAGTGAGTTCCATGGCAGTCAGGGCTATGTAGAGAGACCCTTTCTAGAACAACAACAAAAAGTTCTTTTTCCTCCTAGCTCTCTTCTAAACATGTTTTTTTTTTAAACAACTGGACTTCCTTATTCTTTCTCTGAAGCCTCCCCTGCCTGTTCCTCTTCAAGGATGTAGCTTGCTTTCTTCCTCTTATCTCCTTCCTCTGGGCAGATACCAAAATTTACCACTTGCAAAATCATCCTCCGTTGACCTTAAATAAAAAAGCAAGCCAGGTGTGCTTGTAACATCAAGGTGAGGGAAGACAGAGAAAGGCAGATCCTTGGATTCAGCCAGCTGAGCTTCAGGCAACTGAGAGACCCAATCTTTAAAAACAACAGTGTGGATGGAGGTAGGGTGAGTGGTGGCTGGAGAGATGGCTCAGGGGTCAAGAGCACTGGCTGCTCTTCTAGATGTCCTAGGTATGATTCTCAGCACCCACAGGACAGCTCACAACCATCTATAAATCCAACCAGGAATACATGCGTGTGGGTAAAAACAACAAGGTGGATATCTCCCGAGGAATGATACCTGATGTTGGCCTCTGACTTCCACATGCATGCTCTCACACATATCTATACCTAGCTGCAAACACATGTGTACCCACATGATCATGCAGCCACTTGTACCTGCTCCCATGTGCACAAAATGAGTTTTGATTCACTGACTTCCTGAGACTGCAAAATGAGGCACTGTGTTGTTTTCCTGTTTAGTCACTAGACTTTAAGAGTGATAATACACCTTTAATCCCAGCGCTTGGGAGGCAGAAGCAGAAGAATCTCTGTGAGTTTGAGGCCAGCCTGGTTTATATAGCACGTTCTAGGACATCCATGATTATACAGTGAGATCCTCAAAAGAACATAGAGTGATGAAACTGAGTCTAAGTGAAACTTCAAAGAAACTAGATAAGTAGATGGCTCTAGTACTTTTGTTACACTTTTGTTGTTGTTGTTGTTGTTGTTGTTTGAGACAGGGCTTCTCTATGTGGCACCAGCTGTCCAGGAACTCAGTATATAGACCAAACTGGCCTCAGATTTACCAAGATCCACATGACTGGGAGGAAATGTGTATACCACCATGCCCAGCTTTCATTACTTCTATTCTTAGTGGCAGTTGAGTGTACATTAGATAATCCCCCTGGAATTCATTTGATAGCATATATAAAAATTCTTAAATATTTCCCTCCTATTGACCCTTTACTTTAAGCATCTTTCTTTGCAAAAACAAATGATCATTAACAATTATCCAGCTGTGAGCATGTTCAAAGTATGGTTTACTCTAGTATAAAAAAAAAACCCAAATATATGACTATGAGATGACCAGGAAGTATTTACAGCTGTTTGAAAGGCACGCTTTAAAATGCATTATGTGCATAATAGAAAGCAATAATGTAGAACCACATTCATTAAGACAGAAGGGTATTCCCTATAGACCTAAGTGAAGAAATAGTTCACAAAATAGGACAATTCCAAGTTTATTATAGGCCCATATATTATTTATCTATAGCTCTCTATGACTGTACACTGTAATAATAACAGTATTTATGTGAGGTGCTGAAGTTTTTCTTTTCTCTGCTAACTAGCAGGATTTCCATTCTCTGCAATGAATGTTCAGTCCTTGTGTTCACTGTGTTTCTAAATGAGTACAGGGAAGGTAAAGAAATGCTGGAAGAAATAAATAATTACAAACTACTTCTGAACAGTTTCATGCTAATTCCATGGGGGGGCGTGTCTCAGCCCCAAGCCACTGAAGTGAAGATGAGGATCTGAATTTTAAAGAAGGTCACAGAGGTCCTCCCACTTTTCCCATTTGCAGGCGATTGACATGGAAATAGAACCTTGCTTTCCATTTTGAATAAATAAAACTTTACAAGAACACAAAGCAATATGTGAGGAAATGTTCAGACACATGTTACAAAGTAATTTAGAAACATGATTTGTCAGGTTTAAAAGCTGCACTGTGATTTTAAAAGCAAAAACCATTCTCAGGTACCCAGATTGGCTTTGTTTTTTTCCTCTGCAACAAATGCCTCTCTCTTTCCTTTTTCCCTGGAGATATGAAAAATCTGACTTTAATATCAGAATATTTATGTAGAAACAATCAGCATGGCAATTTGACTGTAGTCTGCTCAAAACACACATATCCTTTGTCTGCTGAGGATTTAGTAGTCTATTGATGTCTTTGTGAAGATTTGAGGGGTAGAGTTAAGCCTATAATAACAGTGCCACACATTCCTTCATTAAAACATACAACTACACTATTTCATTTCCCAGAAATACCACAGAATAACAATGTTTTAGCACTTTGGCATCTGCGTTAAAGGTGGATTTGCATTACTACTTAGGAAGTGAAAGTTTCAAAGAAACATAATTGCTACTGCCAGGGAGGCCCAGATAGTTGGAGATAAGGCAGGAAATGGAAGATACCTGTAGTGATAAGAACTTGAAGTACAGAAGAATGGTACAACTTGAATCGTGCTCAAATATTTATCTCTGTGTAGATGCCAGTATGAACTAGGGCCATCTGGTTTTAGGTACTACAGGGCCCAAAGGATTTTTCAGTAAAAGGATGCCTTCCCTATAGAGCAGCCCAATGATGGATATTTTAAAACCAAAATCAAATTGGAGGGAAATACCAGTTATGCTTTTGGCCCTGTCTTCCCTTTGTTTCCTACTGCCTGTCTCTTTCCAATGACCTCCCCCACATAGCCATGCTGCTGGCCTTGGCAACGGTCATATGGGTTGCAGCAACCATTGCTAATGCAAAGAACATCAGTTTTTAGACAAACTGCCGAATCAAAAGGCCTACAAATTGGACTTCAAGGACTACTTAAGGCTTGAAATCATCACAGTACAAAGAGAAATAAATGTATTTTTCCTTGAACTTTTCAAAGTATTGGGATGATTTCCCTGCTTTCCTAGTTTCATGGTACTTACTTTCAGTCGTGTGTTCTACTTCAGAAGTTGCTAACTGTCCTTTTTTTTATTGCCATTGAAATGTAGGCTCCACAGGGTAAAGGGATCTGTGTGTCCTTGGTTGTTTTCTCAGTGCTTGGAAAGCTCCTGGAATATACAAAGTATTCAATAAAGCTCCTTGGCAATATTCTGATGTCCACCTTTTAATGAACAACAGTAGGGCTAGATTTATGTTTAGGATTGTGCCACCTTTCTAAAGGTGGATCTTGAAGTTTAAATTACCTTTCTATTTCAATTGTCAGCCTGTCCATTTTAATGGTAGTTTAGGTAGACAGAGGTATTGCAAATTGCATTATCTTTTCCATTCTGATTGATTTTATTGAATGTTTACTAAATTCTTCTCCCTTTGTTAATGTGTGGGGATAGGTTGAATAAAGTACACTTATTGACCTAAAGGGGTGCACAGTGTAATAAGACAAATAGGATGTAGCTTTGACACAGTACACTATGTGTGAAAGTAGAGGAATGCTAAGAGGGCCGAAGCAAAGGATGGTGGGGTTCACTCTTTGTAAGGATTGGGCCTTCAGATAAATGAAATATATTCCTTTGTCCTCTTGGAATTCACAATCCAGTGAGGGAGACAAATTCATAAGGATAATGTTATGCTTCTAATATTGCACTAGAGAGGCAAATCAGTGCTTTGGCTACATCAAGCAAATGACATGTCTGCCTAAAAGATAAGGAATTGACTTACTCTCTTGAAAACCTTTTGGTATCTAATCCAAGATTCTGGAATTCTGAAAGACTTTCTTTCTTTTGTTTGTTCTTTGTTTCTTTATTTTTTTTCTTGAGACAGTGTCTCTCTACATAGACCTGGTTGGCCTGGAACTTGCTATGTAGAGCAGACTGCCCTTGAATTTATAGAGATCTAACTAACAAGGGCTAGAATTAATGACATGAGCCATTACATCTGGCATCTGAAAAACTTTCAAATTGTATAAACTTCTACTGCTTTTTATAGAAAATTCCTACTAAGGCTATGAGACTACCTAGGGTATATATTCATCACTCCTGTTATTTTACTTTCAATACAATTTGTGCTTTAGGGTATTAAAAATGAAATAATGGGCAAATAACAAATAATGTATACTATATCTAAAACATATATCTTTTACTTTAAATCGTAAAATAAATATGTATCTATAATAATATAGAGTTAAGCACCTAGAATTGAAATCACTATATGTAAAAAATTAAAAATGGCACCAAAATACAATTCAATAATTTTAACAGAAGCCAAATTATGGAGTATGTAAAGGCACTGGAAAACAACAACAGCAGACACAAGTAAGATAGAAGACAAGATGGAGGATGAAGAGTAGGAAGGAAAGAGAAGAAGGTGAGCTGGAAGGAAAAAGATATTTGTTCAAAAAAGAGGTGAGAGATGTACAGATAGATTGTCATAGACCAGATAATAGTGGCTCCCTGGGGCCACTTAAACAATTACTCTTTTGCTATTGCAAAGGTAGGTTTTCTTGCCTGTTTTATTGTCTTTTGAGCTTCTTTATTTTACGTGTTTAGTCAGCACCCCATATGTGTGCAATGCCCTTGTAGGCCAGAAGAGGGAGTCAGATCTCCTGGATCAGGAGTTACAGCAGAGGAAAGCCACCACATGGGAGCTGAGACACAAACCCCAGAACTCCTGAAAGCACAATGACTGAGCCACCTCTCTCTCTCTCTCTCTCTCTCTCTCTC